TCTTATGAAAGTGGGTAAAGTTTTGATAAACTTACCTTAGTCAGCATTGATGGCAACGACTGGCGATAACTTTGATGACTGGCATTGACTAGATGACAACAGCGCGCTCTTGAAATAGTGGACTATTCGGTAAATTATGACAAAATACAACAGGATGATTACCATTGGACCAAGAAGGGGCCTAAATTCGTTCAGAAGCACATACGTAGGGTGGGAATGGCTATCGGGCCCTTGCCAACCCCCTCCCTCCCCCCCCCCCCCCCCCCCCCCCACACTCTCCTACTGCTAAACACAAGTCGGTGACCGTGGTTCCGTTCATGGACTTCTCGACATAATTAATTTTATAATTTGTTGATCAATATTATCGTCACCGATCATTAACTGTTTTTTTTGGCGTCAGGTAATTGCAGTACATTATATGTAAAAGGGCAATGTGATATTTCCGTTGCAGCCTTTTCAGGCACATCGCTTGAGTTTAAGACGACTTTTGCCCCAGGCCCGGTGTAAGCCGCTTTTCTTACTAGACGTAATCCATGTAATTAGGTCGCCTGGATTCACTGCCAGTCACCGGGCCATGCGGATGCCGACAGCATGAAGAACTGCTCAAGTATGCACCTGCACGCCTTTCCAGCTGATGCAGTCCGTGTAAGGCTGCCCAAGCATCGCGGTTTGGCACGGGCTTAGTTTGATTGCGTTATAAGATGTTGTTTAAGTTTCGTCTTTGTTCGTGTTGATTCGTGCATAACGCTGAGATGTTGCTATCGGCGCTAAGTGTGCTGAGACACAAAGTGGGTCCCACGCCCTGAAGATGGATGGTAATGGATAAGAGGCAGATAAAGGAGGCAGGGCGGCAGAGGGAGAAAGAGCAGCACGTGTGAAAGCCTGCATCTCCGCCTCCCCCTCCCACTGCACCGGCGCAGCTCGCTGGAGGCACCCCCTCTCGCCGTCGGCCTGCAGCTCTGCGGGCGGCTCCTCCCCGGGTGCTCAACCCCCTGAAGCCGCCACCACTCTGCATCCCGCAGCAGCATCGCCTGGCCTGCCTCAGCGTGTTGAGTGTTCACCCTCCTCACTGGTGTGTCGCTTCGGCGGCTCTCACCGCCTCGCGTCCGCGTCCGGCGCAGCGCTGAGCCATGCTTTTTCTTAAAATCTACCAGGCGGACTTCCTCTGCCATAAGACCTTGAGCTTACCGGCCTCGCCTCATTTGAGCAGCGCATGCTTTGAACATGTAATACGTTAAACGTAAACCACGTTGCTAAAAAGACTCATTCAACTTAAAGGAATGTCCCTCATTGGAAGATACTGAAGCAGGCATCAGATATGTTGAAATAAGCTGACTTATAACTATTGGTATGCTTTCAAATGAAAAGGCTCCTCCAGACAGCACAACTTCTGTGGTTAGTAAATATGCTCCTCAATGCGTCATTGTTTGATTGCGTCATCGACATTGCACAATATTGATTGAGAGCCAATTGGCGGCCGTTATATCTGGAAATCGTGATCACGAGCGCCAGATAAGAATGACTCGACAACTCCATTTTTCATGGCCTTGATGGCCGCATGGCTAATGGAATGGCATGACCTGAATAGCATTATTATGCCATCATGGATGCGTAGGTGGCCTTCAAACAGTCTCCCTGAAATAGTCTACACATCTTCGCGGGCGTGTAAAGAAGAGAAGGGCTGTGAACTGCACCGAATGATCTTTAAGATGGCTATTTCAGTTCCAAGCCCCATACAAATGCGGAACACTCCCCACAGCCCGGCACCGCCCAGGTCCCTCAACGGTGCGCGATGGACAGGTGCGGGCAAATTTGATCCCCGCTTATTTGGAGAACGGCTGGGCCGAATCCAAAAATTCAAACGGCAATGTGCCACGATGAGCAGTCTTAGACCATACGACAAACTGAGCGGTTTCCACGACCCGTCACAGTGACACCACGGGAGACCAAACCCCCGCCGCCCGCCACCGCGGGTCCGGGCTCAGACGGGCGCGCCAAACCTGCGCTGTAACGCATTTCGATCATATCTCAGTCACTGTTACAGATAGGTGCTTAAGACCTGGTACGGACATTTTTCGTAGTCGTATCTTGAGTACCTTGTTTCTGTTTTCATAATTTTGAGTGTGAGTCCAAACAACGTGGGCGCGCTTTATATAAGTATTTTTGTTATTTGACATGACAATATTTAAACGTGCGATGTTGAAGCAACGTAACAAGATACACAAATGACACACTGATTGGCTTTCGTTTCTCGCTTAAAGATATCAAGTATCCTCTTTCATTCGGTTTCTTGTCAATTTGTCTACAACTGGGCGCTTTTGTTCAAAATAGACGAACATAGAGTCACTCTAACGGCTCTCACGCTTTATCTGTTATGATCTCATAATTATTCTTTTGACACAGGGCATCGACATTAATCAATAGATAGCGAATACAATTTTCGACTGACATTTCAATCCGTTTTGTTAGCGTGGAGAGCATTCGACAAGGAAGCAGATTTACAACCCCCACCCCCTTCCGTCAATAAACAACCACGTGGGAAACGTTGACACCGTATCACGCACTAGATCTCCATCTCCAAGGAAAGGAGCATGTTGCACGTAAAATGCGATGATGATATGTCGTATCCGATAAGGCTGATTGTCGTGCCCTTCAAAGATTTTGCAGTCAGTTTGTTACCTTCATACCCAGTACAGTTGCTAAGCATTGTAAAAAACAAGTACTGATTCGCAAGAAGCTTGTGTACTTTGTGATGAGCGGCATTTGTGATTCAAGGACTGTTCATGCGGACATCTTTTATATCAGCGCACCGAGCGTCCATAGCGCACATATCAGCGCACCGAGCGTCGGTGATCTCCCCGGCCCCATGTTACAGACCAAGCATCCGCTTATTTAGGGGCGGATTCGCATAGTGGCCATTGTCACTTGTAGGCGCGAATGGTGGTTTATCAATTGTAATTTTCTTGTATATCCGAATATTCATGATGATTTCAGTAAACATATGGACCTTAAATATTCTTTACACCGCCACGAGCAAGACCTTTTGGATCTCCATTGAAGCCCTCCTCCGTATGCCTTACGCCCCACATTTTTCATAACATTTCCTGCTTTGATGGGCAAGTGACGCGCTGAGGAAAGAAATGTGTGGACAAAGGGGTAAACATTTTCTGAAAATTTCAGCACTTAAAAATCTGAGTGTACCAACGCACGTGCTACTACCACAAAGATGGTGACAATCCTACCTCGCACCGCTCGGGGACGGCTCGGAAGTCAAACGTGCTCTCAGCTGTACAAAGGCTTAAGTTCGCATGTGTTTGATGTGGTTTTATAACATCATCGCTGCAACTCTTGCCATCCACGAGTAGCGTCCACCCGGCAGAAGTTGTGAGATGGAACGTCGGAACATAGAACTCGAACGTTTTGTTTTCAATAGTATAGGAGACCAGTATGCAAATGCCAAAGGACTGTTCACATTCCATGCATGTTTACAACCGTTAGGTGGGTCAGAGCCGGCTTAACACGGCTGCTTTTTACTCAGCCTTGCGATATGACCGAATTCTGCTATTCTGTCGTAAGATTTATTGTGGTTCTTAGTCTGGGATATTGCGTCAGAATGCGAGGGAATGCTCAAGTATGCAGCCGAGCTAGAACTTAGGATTTCGGCCAAGTGGTTGGATTTTTGTCGTTGCCAGAATGCAGCTGTGTTCCGCTATTTTTTCGTTCGTCGAGCGGAAGTGTCATTTCTATTGTCTCAATGGTTTAATATGCAGGGAACATCTGGGGCAATAAATCATCTTGGTGCCCCAGATCGGTACAAGCATCGGTCTGCTTCCGTATGTCGGGTCTCGTCCGCACAGCTTCCCGGTGCTCCATTCGTGGCAGCTACATCGTCAGTGCCACGCACGGGGGTCCGTTCGATTCAGCTGAATGAATTATATAGATTAGAATTAGCGAATGCATGAAATGAACCGTTGTTGGGCTGCCTGCGACGTTACTTGCGCGAGTTGCATTCTGGGCTGTTTAAATTCCAGTGAATCCGGACGTCGCCTTGGCCGTAAGTAGGGAAATCCAGTTGTTTCAATGATAATCGGGATTAGTAACAATTGCAGCAATCCGAGGATCACGCGAGACTTAGTCTTTAGCGTCATTCGATGCACGTCAAGCACTTCTATGTTTGCGACCAAAAAATAACAGCTATGAAATACACCTGTGTGTATGCGTACTTCTTTGTGATGATTCTTTTTAGCTCTGTTGTGATGCAGCCTAGTGTGCTTCCCATGGGCGCAACAAAAAGTGGTCGAATAAAATACCAGAGCACGTGTTTCGCGCTGTGAGACGAGAAAGCGGATAACAGACGTGATTGTTGACACCATGTTCATCATACCAAAGCATACTTGAACGAAGCCGTCACCTTGGGGGGCCCATGCAAGAAGCCCAATTAAAAGAGCTTTTCGACGTAAGTCATTATACTATTGGAAATGTGGGGTTTTCCATTTACTGTGTTTTGAACGCCGGTTTTCGAAAACAATAAATTGTGTTACTTTTGAGACTATAAACATGGGAGGCTGTAGGTACTGGATACAACGTAAGTCAATCGTTTCACTGTGATCAGCATTGAAGCACGCGTACCATAATCACGTTAACGGCTGCTAATTTGAGTGCCCATCGGGCCCCTCGAGACCAAACGGGGGGGGGGGGGGAGGTACGTCCCCTGTGACCTCCCCCGCCCCGCCGCCTCCTGCACCACTGCACGTAACGTGCTTTGCATGCTTTGTATGCTCAGACGGCCCGCTGCACTGTACAGGAAACCAGGCGGGAAGTATCCTGCTATCCTGATCACGAATGTGACCGAAGGACATTCTCATGTCTGAAGACTCTGTGAGGGTGTAGGCCAACCTGAGTGTCCCCTATATAACCGCGCTGACACGTGTTGCTGACAGCCGCGTTGCGTGGCCGCTGCATTAGCCTCGGCCGTGACAAAATGCCCGTGTCCGTCGCAGGCGAGCGGGACCGAGGTCGCCGACCGGTAATGGTGTTCGTGCACGGCGAGGCCTTCGACTTCGGCACCGGCAACGCCTTCGACGGCTCCGTGCTGGCCGGCTTCGGCGCCGTGGTCGTCGTCACCATCAACTACCGGCTGGGCGCGCTTGGTGAGAGGCGTCAGCGTGTGCGCGGCGCGTGCCTGTTGTGTACGATGAATGGCCAATAACCGTGGCATTGTGGGCGGCCCCAGGGCGCTGCGTAAACATGCTCGGCTCGTGCCTCGTATCTTGCGAGCATCTCTTCCGGAGTTTTCTCCGGCGGGACACTTTTGGTACGTGTATCACGCCGTGTAAGCGCGAGGCAATGCATTTGTGAACTGGCCGCGACCTCGTCTCGTTCATGCGCTGTATGCGGGGTCAATGACAGCTATCATCCGCGCTACGCTGCCAGGCGAGCCGGACGCCTTCCGGCTGATTCAGGGCTTCAACTTTGGGCCGCCGCGCCTGGCGGTTTATCATATCGCCCGCCCTGACACCGATATCCTCTAAAGGCTTCCCGAACTCCAACGTCGGCCCGCTGCCGGCGATGCAGTCAATCAGTCCTCGCACCCCTTCCCCGCCCCCACAGACACCCCTGACCGCTTCCTGAACACCAACTTTGAGCGATTGGGGGCGCTAGACGACGACTTGGCCTCAACACTACAACGTTCTGCGGCGTAGGCCTCAACCACCAACCATCGGTCGTGAATCGCGCCGCGAGTAGCGGCGCCCTGCGTGATCTCACCGGCTCCTGCCTTGACTTGGACTCCAGGCTCAGCCCGTGCGGCAGCGCCCCGCGTCATCGCTCCCGCCATCGCTGTGCCCCGCAGGCTTCCTGAACGCCAACTTCGAGCCGGTGCGGGCTGTGGCCAACTACGGCCTGCTCGACATCGTGGCCGCGCTCGAGTTCGTGCGGCTGACTGTGAGCGCGTTCGGCGGCGATCCGGCCAGCGTGACCGTCTTCGGCCACGGCGCCGGCGCCGCCTGCCTCCAGTTCCTGATGACGTCCGCCTCGGCGCCGCTCGGTGAGCGGACGCGAACGCTGGCAGCTGGCTCGGCGCCAGCTCGCGCCCACTTCACAGATGGAGCATTGCGGCATTCTGCTGTGTTGCATTTCGGTGACAATCGCGTGCATCTCCGCAGGGGAGGTGGCGCCGCGCTAGGCAGCATCGTGCTGTTGCTTGACATTGCTTATTCTGCGGTATCAGGGTTGTTACCAACGCAATGGAAGCAGGCAGCGCAGTCGGCGTGATCTTTCCGTGCTGAAAATGCCTGCACCAATGGCTTGACAAATAAAAAAGCCGCTGTGTCTCGCTTGTGCCATGCAAGCTGGCCTATGGCGAGCAGCTGTAGACTCCCCTGCACCCGTTGTCGGTACTACGCTGCGTTCACCCGCGCACTTTACAAACGGCCGCAATATCGCCGCGTCTGTTTCAGGTCTCCTGTTTCACCGTGTGATCCTAATGAGCGGATCATCATTAGCGCCGTGGGCGCTGCTCAGTGATCCGCTGAACGCAACCCACCAGCTTGCCAAGCACGTCAACTGCACGCCAGCGACCGACTCGTTCCTTCCGTGTCTGCGCGGCAAACCGCTCGAGTCGCTGCTGGCGGCCCCTGTTGTCGCTCCGAAGTACCTGCCAACGTTCGGGCCGTCGCTAGATGGAATCGTCATCGACGACGAATTCTTCACCAACCGGGCATCCTACGTACACCGCCTGGTCTCATACAGTCTGATGACCGGAGTGACGTCATTTGACGCAGACTACCAGCTGAGCCAGCGTCAGCTGACGTCGGGCGTGACGTCAGAAGGACGAGACCAGCTGCTGCGAACGTACGTGCGGAACTCGTACAGCTACCACCTGAACGAGTTGCTGGCGGTGGTTCGACACGACTACACCAGCTGGACGGGCAGCCGGCAGTCGCGTCAGCAGCTGCAGCTGCGCGACCAGCTGCTTACACGCGCTCAGCGACTGCGCAGTACGTGGCGCCGGTCACCCACACCGCCAGCCTGTTCCCGGACGACCAGGCCACCTTCTTCTACGTGTTCAACCGGCCGGGCGCGTCCGAAGAGATGACGGTGAGTCCCCAGCGTGGCACGTGCCGCTCCTTCGCGGTCCGAGCACTACCAGTGCCGCTCCTTCGCGGCCTGAGCGCTACCAGTGCTGCTCCTTCGCCGCCCGAGCACTACCAGCGTCACTCCTTCGCTGCCCGAGCGCTACCAGTGCCGCTCCTTCGCTGGCCGAGAGCTACCAGTGCCGCTCTTTCGCGGCCCGAGCACTACCAGCGTCACTCCTTCGCTGCCCGAGCGCTACCAGTGCCGCTCCTTCACAGCCCGAGCACTACCAGTGCTGCTCCTTCGCTGCCCAAGCGCTACCAGAAATCAATGTCCCGCAGCCGTCAGTGGCACTGGAGGGCCTCTGCGGCCGGCCGCGCCAGCCGCAGCAGCGTGACCGACAGAGAGCGGGCTGGTGTCGGTTATTCGCTGCGGCGATATAGATCAATACCTGCTCGGCCCGCGGCCGCCTCGCTTCAGTAGATTACTTAATCTGACCGCGGTGCTAATGATGAAGCCGCGAATTCCCCTCGGCGGAGTTGCCGCCCCAGGACAATGCCGCCGGCTGATGAGTTAAGAGCTGTCTCGTGGACTGACACCAGCTAGTCGGTTGGGCGCCACTGTCGGCCTCATCTGCCCACCCCAGCTGCCGTCCCGCGGAAGACACCGTCAAATGTTGGCGCCGCTGCCGCGTGATAGCGCTGCTCGCGCGCAGTATGCTTTTAAGAAACCCTGCGCGGTGATATATGACAGCATTTTAACGCGCAAAATGGGCTATGTGCATGGCTCACGACTGGCACATTTCTCAACGTCCAGAGACTAGATGATATCACGAGCTGAATGGTGGATCTGCGGTGAACCCAAGGTTGGGAAACGAACTGGCGGCAGTTTGTTCCTGAGGAATGTGTGCAAAGTGGACATCTTCCACGAGATTGCCATTATCTGGTTGCGTTTTGGTTTTCCCTTATTTGACTCTTAATTAAAGTGAGAGAAAGAACTCTGCAGTTTACAGCGTAGGTTAAGTGTACCTATCAAGCGACCGATGAAAATATGACCACCATTGTTGTCAAAATTGATTTCGGCTCTTCCTGTTTTCGTCATGAGATACGTGAGTTTTGCATTTTTCTGCACTCCGAGGTGCAATCACCGATTTTTTGTTGCACACAGGGTTAAAAAGTTGTAGCATGTTTCCGGGACTGACTCTCTTACCGCAAGTTTTGTTCCTAACGTGGGCTCTACGGTGGCCGCGCGGTGTGCGACAGCGGTGCCAGCACTCTGACGTCACCTGTCAGGGCAACGGCGTCATGTTGCCGCCAGCTGAACAAGAGGTGCGAAGGTGCTGCTAGGCTGTTTCTGGTGGTTGAAAAGCTGTGCTCAATCTTCCCTTCGTTCTAGCACAGCTAGAAAACTTTCTGGCGGGAGCAACTCCCTTGACAATGGCAAGAGCCGTGTTCCACAGACTGTTGAAATTGGGAAGCAGCATCTGATTTCCTTCCATCTGTTGAAGCAGAAGAACCGAAACATTTCCCGTCTTTACAATATTGTAGACTAACATGGTATGACATTCTTTCAACCCACCAGAGTAACGTACACGATGCGTGCACATATATCATTGCCGCTGGAAATCATCATTAATCTAGCTTCGTTGAATATTAACTTTTGCGGACACATGTAGCGTCCGCCTAGTTTTATTTCATTTACATTCATCTCCAGCTTCCACGAGCCGCATGCGGTGTTCTGCGAACCACTGCCATTGTCTGGTGCCCGCTCTCCGACTTGGCTATTCTGTGTGCAGTTCACATCGACGTTCCGATCCATATCTTGCCTCGGCTCGTGTTTGCCTGCGCTCTCCGGCGGGCGGCGCCCCTCGCCGGCGGCCCGTGCCGGCCCGGCCCGGTGGCCGCCCGCTCAGGAGCGCGCTGCCGCCCCCAGGGCGCGCTCAGTCACGGCGCGGAGCTCGCCTACGTGTTCGGAGCGCCGCTGGTGGGCGGCCGGACGCCCGACGGCCGGCCGTGGAATGAAGACGACCGCGCGCTGGCCCGCCTCGCCATGGCCGGCTGGACCAACTTCGCCAAGTCCGGGTGAGGCTCGCCGTTGTCCGGGCGCGACCCAGCGGCCGCCGGCGCCCGCTGTCGGAGAACTCTGCTCGGCGGCGCCGTGCCGCTAGCAGGCGGCGGTCGCCGGAGCGCGCTACATTTGCAAAACGGGAGCTGTGTTCGGATTTGCATGCCTTAGCTGCGACGCAGTCTATTTTCTCACGGGAAATCCCTTTGTTCCGGTGCTATTTGTGTTCGTTTGGTGTTATCTGGGCGTGAGATTAGTCTTTCTTGCCGGTCTGCTTTGTGTAGTTAAAATAGAACCAGCTTAAACAAGTGAAAAACAGCTCACAGCTACAACAGCTTAAACCGGTCTTGATCATTGACATCTGTTTATGCGTGTCATTGCGCGGTCACAGTACGTTTTGCTCCAGCTAGCGGCGAACACCAAACACGAGCACCCCGACCGGTCATGACGTTCGTTTGAAAAACCAGTGCGGTGCTAGCCGCTCGCCGCACATCTCCGCCGTTCTCAGCAGTGCGCAGCAGGTTACACCGCTTGGACCGTTGGATCAAGGAGGCAGGTGCCAGGCGCCAGGCCTCTCCCCACTCCGGGCAGCATTTAGTATAAACACTACGGTGACGCACGGAAAGAAACAAGGAAAAAACCGTGTTTGCCCCCCCCCCCCCCCTCCCCTTCACAGAGGCTCCGTGTACCAGGTACCGTCACGATCCGCTTCCTCGCAGCATTGCAATGCCTGGAACAAATCGGAATTCAGCACTGTTTGACATTATGTTCCTGACAATTTTGGACAGGATATCTAACACCTTACGTAAGGAAAACCATCTGCCTGGCAGAGGCTTGGATCAAAAGACGTCATTCATGACTGGCGAATTTAGCCTGACGGACCATATGTTCGTTATGCAAGCCAGCAATGGCGGCGTGGCGCGCCATTTTGTCAGAGGAGAAGGGACTCGCTTTTGTATGAACAACACGCGCTGATTGCAGGCGCGTGGCAGCGAAAAGTGTGTTGCGGCAAGCGATAACCTGATCCACTGTCCGCAATGCTCTCGCAGTAAAACACAGATATATTTGCATTGATTGTAGCACAGTGCATGGCTTTGTTTTTCCGTCATGTCTTCAGCTATAACCATTTATTTATGTATTGGGAGAGGTGCCAGTAGATAGCAGGACCACATTGGCAGTTGGTTTCATGTTTGATTAAGAGCCGTCCTTATAGCTCAGTTTTGCCGTCCCTGCAGTTTATTTGGCAGAGCGTCGGATGCTTTGATTAATGTATAGCAGTCACAATTGCTTTAAAAGTTGGCTCCTACATTTTATACTGTCGGCCTTACGTCGCATGACCTGTTATTTTGGTCCAGCAATTGCAGAGAGAATGGCTGGAGCGCGTAATCAATTGCACCTGATCAAAGCAGGCCCATGGTATGGCTGCGGTTTTGGTGATGCTGTGAAACGACACATCGGACAGCATGGCATGCTTTGGGTGCAAAATTACTGGGCGCACATGGTCTGGTAGATGAGCACGCGCAAAATTGTATGTGCTGTTTGGCTTTGTAGTAACCGTTTGCGAGGAATCGAACGCACTGTGACTAATTGGTCTTGCATTATGCAGTTGCTATCTAAATACGTGCACAGTGGCAAATTGTCACAACACCAAGACAAAGCAATACAATTTATCAGAACTTAATAATTACCGGTGATATTTAAACCAACATATACAGTGTCTCAATTATCGTTATTTCGCTTTCCCGGTTGCTATAGATTTTTGAAAAGACTTATTTCACGCCAGACCAAGCTATGTTGCCACTGTGACATTGCTGGGCAGTGTTGTCGGGGTTCGTTGTGGCTACGGTTAAATGTCCCCGACACACTGTAATTTTGTAAATGATTTCGTTGGCAGCATCCTATAAATCTTGATTACGTAATCTTCACGACCGGCACCACTGGAATGAACTGCGATGTTCCGTTTGTTTTCTTCCAGTGATTTAGCCCTCGTCTGCATCGCCGCTCGTACTACCCTCTGTTGCTAACACGTCCAGTGGGCTGCTGCAAAAGTAAAAAAGTAACAGGGTGCTATCGCCACACGTGATCTTTGGGTTCGCTCATGCAATTTTGGCACGATCATAGAGTCAGAGTCCAGCAGAGTGTCCTATATGGACAAGGAGCGTGAAGTCGACGTGGGGAACATTTGCTAAAAAGAGCGAGGGTGGGACTCCGAATGCCAGAGGGCCTATTGCGTTGGTCGCTGCCGTCTGACAATTAAAGGAAGCCTGAAAACTTTTGACGAGAGCTCATATTCATGCAATGGAAGGGGTCTGTTCCAGTTAGGGACCCCAATAGCCAACGGTGAGCCCTTCATCCCAATTCCAGCATGGGCCCGTTAAGCCACACTGGAGTCTATGTGCCAATTATTGGACCACCTGCGGCGATCAGGGATCTTGTTGCGTCAGTGAGGGTTCCTGTATCGATCCGAGGCCAACTGCGCGGGTCCGAAGGCTTCCCGCATCAGGGACGGGACCGATGTGATATGATGTATCCTTTTAAGGGTCTCCGTATCGACCAGGAGATTCTGCCCCTGTGTCGCCAAAGACATTATGTTCCATGGTGTTCTTTTCAAGCCACCCTTCTCCCGGAAAAGTATGGTGTATCATTAGTGTTGAATAGAGTGAGTCGAAATGAGTTAAAAAGGAAAGGATCAACCCATGTTTGCCCGAGAACATTCAATCTTTTGCAGGGTCGACTAATGAAACAAGTTACATAAAAAGTTTGTGCCTGAGCCTATTTACAATTTTGAGGCTGTTCTCTGGACGGAACAGTTATATCAACACAAAGAATAGAGATCCTACCTTGACTTTTCCGGTTCCACTGCCATATTTTCGTCCGCCCGTAGGCCACCGCTTCTTTTAACCTTGAGGTCAACGCCTATCAGCCTACGGAGATAGCAACAAAAACCTGGACGTCCGGCGTTGCAAAGATTTGCGGGCGCGCATCTTCAAAACCACGTCACATTATTTTTTCACCAACCGATTCTGGCTGAATGGCGAGCATTACCAGGCAAGCATAGTCATGTCAATCTAAATTTTGACTCACTTCTATCTACAATCTACGTTCGCGAAATCTTCGATGCCCCTGAAGAACCCAGATCAGAACTCTGGCAAAGCTGCTAAGTTTTATTACTTTAGAAAGAGTCAAGTGATCACTGTAAAATGAAAGAGCTCCGGCGATTTGTTTCATGCAGTCGTTTAACACATGATGCCTTCAGTTTCTTGACATAAAGATTTAAACGGAATTGATCTCGTGTTAGCATCTGTATTTTCTATTTATAGAAGGCAATAAAACGGAGAAACCCGTGCTCCTCATTGACGAGTGGGTCATATCCGGCATTTTTTGGCGGGCGTTTGGCAAGGGGATCATGTGTCCTCTTGTCAAGGCTCTAGCTGCGCCCCGGCTGGGTACGCCGTAAATCTCCATTGACAACAGAACCACGCCTCAGGAGTACATGATGAGCGCAAGCAGCGCATCGCAGCGCTGGGATTTTCCACATTTTCACAGCTTTAGAACTTTGATGAAAAACATTACGTGTCCGGGGCGTAATTAGGTACTAGAAAGAAGCAGGGCGGGTGAAGAAATATTCCAAATTGGGCTGCAATGCTCGACGTTTGAGATGCTGTGGATTTTGCTACGAAAAACTGGGGAAGGTGTCACCAGCCTCCTGTCCAAGCGAGGACGAATTGTGGTAATAATCGTGTACCCCTTTATGGTGTTACGTATTTAACTCTTGTTGCTGGCATGCGAAAAAGATGAATGCGGGTTGCTGTAACTGAATTCGCATCACGGACAGCGATGGCCGAGTGGTCAGCGCCTTCGGCTCCTCGTGAGGGGCCCGGGCTCGATCCTCGCCGGCGCCATCGGGCTCTGAGTGCTAATATGACCCTTTCAATGCCTGCCAGTCATAAAAGTGTGTCTGCGACGTGATGACGTGCGCCGCATGACCATTGTACTAATAAATTATTCGCGTTTACTGTACCATAGCTCTTTGAATTTTTAAGGTGAAGTGTAAATAGACGTCGTCATAACTTTGCGGGATATCACATCTTGTCAGCGTTTTTTACGGCTGCTCTAGTTACCAAAATTGTAGTTGCCAAAACATATCGTCCATATAACATTGGAAATGATGTCAATGTTTCACTTCAAATCGCGTCAGCCACTTATTTCCAGCAGTATATTTTTGTTTTGTTTTTAGTGGTAAGTTTCTAACGTATTTCATCTTTGTGTGATCCTTTCCTGAACTACAATGCAGCACTACTCCAACACTCACAAGGGGCACTACACAATTCATGGAAAATCCAAACGTCTGGCACCCGACAGCGCGATAACATTTAACAATGCTAGTATTCAGCACATGTCTAGCCCTGCCGCTCCGAACATCATAGTAATGTGATCTGTGGGCGCTTTTCCATGCGTTTAAATACGTCTTGAACGGAATAGCGAATGTGAAATGCAGGTCCGTACTCACATTACGGTTCCGTCCGTCATTCCAGCGACCCTAATAGGCCCGAAGAGCTGAAGATCATCTCTCCCGGTGACCAGCGACCCCGGGTGCTGCACTGGAGCCACTACGAACATCTTCACAAGAAGTATTTGTCCCTTGGTAAGGCTGGTTTGAAGCTGTTGTTTACTATTAGCTGGTGAAAGATGTCAGGTCTACAGGAGCAGGCATGCTAATATGTAATTATAGCCCCTTTGGAATTGAGCTGTAATCACTTAAAACTTGAGCAGAAATTGAGAAAGCGTATCATTCCTGATGAATTTTTTAGCTCGTGTGATCATGCAATCATCAGGGAGTCAGAGAACAGACCGTTCCGAAGCTCCACACCTGTATGAACGAAGCGTTAACACTTCGCGCAAATTTACCTGCGTAGAATCAACGCTCTAATTCCGCCTCTCCTGGCATGGCCTATCATGGGACAACTGGTGTAGTCGGTGACGATGTCGTGGCTCTGCGAAACTGACATGAGTCGTTCCGTGCCATCACAGGCCCGCAGCCGCGAGTGTTGGGCCACTACCGACCGCAGCGGGTGGCGCTGTGGCTCAGCCTCGTACCGGAGATCCACCGGCGCGGCACCAGCGGCGTACCCGACCTCGCCCACCACCTGTTCGACGGCCACGAGCGCCCACACCTCTACCTGGGCTCGGTGCGCTCCGTGCCGGCCACCTGGCGGCCGCTGCCGCCGGCCGCCACCACCGCCGCCAGCGACACCAACGCCAGCGCCGTGCGCGATGGCAGCGCCTCTGGCGGCGCGACGGTGGCGCCGTCTGCCTGTCGACGACAGCGCCACGCTGACGGACGCTTTCTCGGCGTACAGCACGGCGCTGAGCGTCACAGTGGCCATCGGCTGCTCACTGCTTGTGCTCAACATCCTTATCCTGGCTGGCGTCTACTACCAGCGCGAGAAGGGCCGCGCCGAGGCGCGCAAGCGCACCGACGAGAACGGGCGCGCGTGCGGCTCGCGCGCCGGCAGCGCCGCCAGCGGCGACACCTGCTCGCTGAAGACGGACGGCGGCTCGTCCGTGTCGAGCGGCGGCGCCAAGGCGCTCGTGCAGACCACGCTGCCGCCGCCGCAGTTCGCCGACCTGCCGCCGCCGGCGCTGCTAGAAGGCGTGTGCGTACGCGACGCGTCGCGGCCGCCGACGCGCGCGCGGGCGGAGGAGGCGGCGCCGCTCAGCCACAGACCGATGCGCGTGACCGGGTCGCTGCCGAGGACAGCGGATCGGCGCGGCAGCCGCGGCAGCCGCGGCGGCGGCTCGCAGGACCGGCTGGCAGAGCTGCGGGTGTAGCGGCCGCCGCGTGGTCGCCGGTGGCAGCGAGCGATGGCTGACTTGGACACCGAGACGGGAAGAGTTCGCGGAGAGCGCGCTGAGGTGTGGTGTGAGCAGTGGTGGACGGATGATGCCGATTTTGTCTCCAGAAGCTTGGAGACAGAGGGCGGCGCGTTGGGAATCGGTCGGCGAGCGCAGTGATATTACGATTTTGCAGATGGTGTGACTGTGCTAACGTATTCAATTAGCTCATCCTGACGCATCCCAATCGATTATCGTGCTGTTATCGATAACTCTCCATCTCCATAGACGCAGGTTTGATGGCTGTTAAGGTTAATGATGGAACTAATGACTTCTGTTCCACAACACCCAGTGCTGAGCGGCTCGAGGCTTCTGAAACTGAGGTCGGTGCAGTCACACGGCACGTGATTGTAACTTATCGCTAATTAAGGTAGGCTGACGATGCCACCTGGGCTGCAGAACATGATTTGATGGTCTAAAACAGAGCGATCGTGCCAAACATACTGGTCGGTGCGCGTGTTTGTGCGAAATCAGTTTATGGTGTTATAAAGAGTGTTTCTCCGTGCGTATTACATGCGTCGTTGTCTGACCCTCATGCGGTGCGAACTGTTTTGTATATTTACGTAGTCAGATGCAACTTTAAGGCAACGTAGATATCTGTTGACTGTTATATTGTATTTAAGAGCGTGTTACACATACCAATGTGATATAGAATAAGACACAAACAACAAGGCGATGATAGAATGCTTCTCTCTTCCACACGTTTGACGATAGTCCTCTAACGGCGGATAGAAATAGCGGGGCGCTATTGCCAGTGTGCGGCTTCAGTATTCTGCTCGCTGGCCTCACCAAACAGCCATTGTCAAAGAGCCCTGCAACGATGAGGGGCTCCTGTGTTGGTCAGAGGCCCACAGATCCTACCACTGGGTTCTGGGTCGCCAAGGGCCTTGAGTCGACCAGGGGAATTTTTTGTACAGGGACAGGGACGGGATCCAGAATGTCAGGGGGCCTCTCTTGTGGATTGGGGCCCTCTGACAATGAAAAGAGGCATGACAACTATGACGAACCTCCACATTGAGGTGATGTAAGGGTGACCGGAGGCCTCCACCCCATTTCAGTCTTCGGCCCATTAAGCCGAAGTGGAGTATGCGCCAATTATTGAACGACCTGCGGCGATGAGGCATACTTTTGCGTCAAGAGAACTCCTGCTTGGATCCGGGCCAACTGCCCGAATTGGAGGAACTCCCGCGTCAGGAAAAGGATCAATGTACGATGCGTCCCTCTAAGGGCCTCCGGATCAGCCAGGGGATGTCGCCCCCCGTTGTAATAATGACAGCCGGTAGGTACCTTGCACTGGGATGCAACGACCCCTCAGCGCTCGCCCAGGAACGATAGTGCTCTCATAGTGCTCTGCCCACCGGGCCCCTTGCGCAGAAAAAGTAAGGGGTATCATTGGTGATCAATAGAGTGAATCAAAAGGAGGCCAGGAATGATGAAAATGCCGACCCATGTTTGCCTCAGAACGTCGATCCAGATGCACAATCGATGAGTAAAGCGAAATACAGCAATAAGCTGTGAGCCTCCTGACTAATCTTTTGAGTAAGAACAACGCTGGCCGGAGCTGCAGTTCCCTTTGATTTCTAATGTTTAGAGTCTAAATTGGTCTTGCCGGCAGCTGTCCCCAGTCACGACAACCAAAGTAAGATGCGTACACCTCTGACCATCAGCAACTAATGCGAGGAAACGCTTTTGACAGGTACAAAGAGGGTCGTGTGGTACTGGACCTAAGCGATATGCAGCTTGGATTCCCCTTCCCAACCTGACAAAAACACTCCCAGCTGCCCGCGTGTTGTTTGCAATTGACTGAACTCCACTGACCAATAGCGGCGTGTCGGGGCCCGGCGAACAGGAGATGAAAACAGGGGAGAGATCCATGAAACAGGAGATGTTCTCACGTATGGCCACCGTGCTTACCACGCCTTCTCGCTGCTCCGCGGGCCGCCAGCTCTGGTCTGTGCAGCGCAGAAGCGCGTCCGGACACTAAGTGTGAAGATGAGCTTGGAAAGGACAACGCACTCATTGTGCGGATGGCAACTGCCTGCTCTGTCAAGTCACACCTCAGGCATATGATCCATGCCAATTAATTCCCAATGGCGATGAGATCAGATTAAAATTGAATTATTTAAAGAAGGTTAAACTCTTTTAATCTCTAGATCAACCCAAACCTCAGTTAAATCTCAATGGCGATTTTTGAACACATTTGTCATAGAAACCACCCGTTGCGGGTCATCCAGTAGATACAAAAAAATCGTCTTCCTCTCTCGTCACCAAGCCAGCAGAGTAACGGTTAATGTTTGATCTCGTGGTTCGGTCTCCCGGGAACGCCTTCCGACTGTCGATATCTGACTGAGTAGCGTCAACACAACACCGCATACCCAACGTGCTTTCCGAATGCGGTTGTCTGGTGACCTGCCCTGTTACATATCATTCACGTACCACTTCAGAGATGCATTGGCAAGGTGTTTAGCAGCAGAATCCGGCTCAGCTTTAGTCCTGAGAGCGAAAGCGGATTACGTCCTGGTTTTTATACCAGCGGGAATGGTCCAATTAACGGAAATCCTCTTTCTGCTGTCGCTGATGTCCTTTCTACCTGTCTAGCGTGCTTTCTATTGTAAGAATGCTGCAGCTGCCTGAAACGCAGATATTTTTCGTAGGCTCTGCAATGACCGGTCCGCCTTCCTCATACCCTGCGCACACAGTTAGGATCAGCAGCAGGTTTTCAATAAGAAGGAACTCGCATGTTAAGCCGATCCGCTAATCCAACGCAGCCAGTCCCGCCATTGGCTCTCAGCAGCCGCGGCATATGACGTCATCTGTTGCCTAGATTTCTCCGCTGCAGGTCGGACAGTTGCCAGTTCAGTCGCGGTGTCGGCTTTCCAAACGCGCGGCTTGAACTCTCGCCGCACTACTGGCCATTGTCTTGGAGCGAGCCTTTGCCTACGTTAGCGGTTTCCTACGCGGTGGCTTACGTGCTTCCGATCAGCCTCAGGAGCGCATCCAGGGCATGCAACTGTGGCGCTTGTGGGGTCAAGACCGCGGGAGGTGTGTCGGCCGCCGTGTGGCCAGCTGATCCTAGTGCCGCTCGCTACCGCTCGTCACAGTCGTTTTTCGTCCTCAGCCGCCGCCATCTCCGTCGCGAGCTGTTGGCCGCCGGCGGCTGGGTCGCGCTCGGCGCCATGCTCGCCTCGCTGGCTCCGGTGCTGCTGGCCGCCTCGCTGGCCGCCGCACTGCTGTCGGAGCGGCCGCTGGTCTTCACCCTGGACGGGCCAGTGCGAGGCGAGACGCTGCTCAGCGCGCGCGGCAGGCCCTACTTCAGCTTCAAGGGGATCCCGTACGCGAAGCCGCCGGTGGGCGCGCTGCGCTTCCAGCGGCCGCAGCGCCACCCAGGCTGGGACGGCGAGCTGGATGCGAGGGCGCACGGCAGCCGCTGCCCGCAGTACGACCCCTTCCAGCGAACGCTGCTGATCGGCAGCGAAGACTGCCTGTTCGCCAACGTGTACACGCCGCAGCTGCCGGCGGCCTGCGGGTCGGCTCGCCGGCCTGCCGGTCATGGTGTGGATCCACGGCGGCGGCTTCAAGACGGGTTCCGGCGACGTCCAACTCTACGGGCCCGACTACCTGATGGACGAGGACGTGGTCGTGGTCACCTTCAACTACCGGCTGGGGGCGCTGGGTTTCCTGACGACAAACGACGATGCCGCGCCCGGCAACTACGGCATGTTCGACCAGGTGCTGCTGCTGACCTGGGTGCAGGGAAACATCGCTGGCTTCGGCGGTGACCCGACCGCCGTCACCGTGTTCGGCCAGTCTGCAGGCGGCGCCAGCGTGTCGCTGCTGGTGCTCAGTCCACTGGCCAGGGGTCTGTTTCACCGCGCCATCAGTCAGTCGGGTAGTGCCATGGCAAGCGTAGGCGCTTCGGGGAGGAAAGATAATATGGCCACTCGGCTGGGTGAGGCCTTTCACTGCCCTTCAAGAGGTAATCAGGCATTGCTCGAGTGCCTTAAGCACGTACCTGCCAAAGATCTCGTGAAAGCTTCCAGGCAGCTGACCACGAGAAGGTATCACTTTCACCCGCGCGTTGACTGCGAAAGGAAAATTCCGTTCCTTCCAGATGATCCCAGAGTCACACTAGAGTCCGGTAACTTCAACCGCGTGCCATGGATAATGGGCCTGAATCAAAACGAGGGTGTTTTCTTCATTTTGAGGGATCTGCTGGAGCTTTTGACTCCCTTCTCAGACGGCATCTTTAGATCGCCTGCAATTTTGCATGAGGCTTTGCGTGAAACTCTATACGGTTCGCTAGACCCGAGGGCGAACCGCTTTAGGGAACTGCTCCGCCTTCTCTGGTTCTACAAGACCGGCGCCGGGCGAGGCGGCACTCCCCTGGAATCCGCTAGCAACGCGATCGGCGACTACTTAATCATGGCGCCGATTTCTGAGCAGGCGCGGCTAGCCTCTCATCACACGCCCGTCTATAAGTACGTCCTGGACCACGTAGGCCCCGGCCAGCTGTCTACGCTTAAGTTGTTCAAGTCCAACATACCCAACCTGGGCGTCACGCACAGTGATGACCTCCTCTATCTGTTCCTGGCGAGCCGCCTGGCCGTGCCGGCCGTCGACTCGCCCGAGTTCGACATGCACCGGCTGTTCGTCGGCCTGTGGACCAACTTCGCGCGCACGGGCCTGCCGGTCGGCGACTCTCCGAAGGTGCCGCACTGGCCGGAGTTCACGGAGCGGACCCAGCTGCACCTGCGGCTCAACCTGCGGCCCACCGTGGCGGCGCGCCTCCTAAAGCGGCGCGACTCCTTCTGGCAGAGTGTGCCCGTGAACGAGCCGTGGAGGCAGCCCGTGGTTCGGGGCTGCGGCGACGGTGAGTTTTGAGGTATTTCTGGCGCCAGAGGTGGAGGTGGGACCAACTTATTCCCAGCAACATGGATTTCGGGTCGGGCGGCGCCAGGTTCGTGAGACCATTAGTGGGTTAGATGTGAAATGGGTGGGACGTCGGTTGGATGGGCGCCAATAGGGTGGAATACCGCTCAGATGGGTCCCAAGTGGGCGTGACGCTGGTCGGGTGTGTGCCAAATGGACGGGAAGTTGGTCGAGTGACTGCCAATCCACCATACCGTGATTGCGTCTCATTGATTCCTGTTAATTTATCAAGATTTGCTTTCTCGGAAGTGCGAGAAATGCTCATGTGTCAAAATCTTTCACTCTGCTTTCTGATCATCCTGTCCTACCGTCGGCAACACGCATTCTGTGGCTTGTAATAAATGGCATCAAAAAGTTTAGGCAGCAAAGCTTTATGACATTTTGAATTCGAGAGCAATGCGATGACAGCCGCTGGCTTCCGGTATGGTCTACCGAGAACAGGCTTGCTTGGTCGGCGGGTGACCTGGATATCGGCAGCTGATGTAACATAAAAAGGGCCTTTCCTGGCCAAATAAGCAAACAGTGTTGAATAGGTCGCGGCGCCTGCACTGTCTGGTGTTGTATGGCATGTTCTTAGACGTGCACTCAGGCACTTCAAGAAACGTACTATGCTGGAGGCTGTTAGCCACGGGTGTCGATTTGTATTCTATTGTGAGGGCCCTGCCCCCCTCCCCCCCCATGTTGAGTTGCACCCCTTCCCCCATGTTGGCTTGGCCCCCCAATGTTTTTGGCTGGAATGCTTTGTGGGTAAAAGATTATCATAACACCAGGACTATCGTCCCTGTCCCCCGACCCCCTACAACCATCTTCTTTTATCTTTCTGCGTAGTGGTGTCTCGTACCACTCTTATAACAAAAAGTCATGGTTGCTCTCACCACAACATACAAATGGCAGCAGCTGGACGCATAAACAATGCAATAAACTTCACATGCCTAGCGCCATAAGACACACAATGGTTTGTGAGGTTAAAGTGAAAAGCTCTGGAATATAGGGATGACCTAAGCACTTCATGGCTAGCTCCGTCTCCGTCCCCCCCCCCCACAGCCAAAATGCATGCCGCCATCCATGACCGTCATAGAAGAGCGCCATCGGCGCCCTAAGGTAGCCCCTAGAATAGCACATTCACGTGCTGATCAGAAAAGACGCGTGCGGCCGGTGCCTAGTCCCTGGGTCCAGCACTACATGACTTCTATACTGCCTAAATTAAAGACAGTTATAAATCATACAGATATTTAAAATGCGTATTGCTTTAATCAAAATAAAGTGGACTAAATCCGGTGAGAAAAATGGGTTAGGGGTAGGTTGTCGAGCCTCGGCCCCCACCAATTTATAGAAATTGACGTCCCTGCTGTTAGCTGCCTGAAAAACATCATTGAGTTGAGGCTCATTATGCAGACCTTAGCAAAGACGGGTGTGCTGGGTTTTAGTATATGGGAGCTCAGTCTAGTCATTGTTGTTCACATTTTTATTGACAGCGTCTGCCCAGATTAGGAGTATCTCCTGAATTCACTTGTCTTGGTTTCCAAGTAAAATCTTTCCTTAACACGCGCCCGGGTGGCCGGCAGGATACCCTTCGCTCGGGTGAGGGGTCAATGAGACCTCGATCCGAGATTCCCGAGATCCCTGAGATCTCGTGAACTAAGAGAGCTAGAGGCACCAAATACACAGGGTGTGTTGACCTGTATGTGATCTCACTTAGGTCAAAGTTTGTGATTCCTAGGTCATGATCTTCGGGTCTAACAAGGTCAAACAACGTCAAATTCCAAGTCGGTCTTTAAAGTGCCCCCAGAACCTAGACAACAGTTTCTAAACAAAAGGCCGGCTGCTCATTTAAGGGCAGTGATCTTGTTTGACCTTTTGAAGATTATGGCAACCGAAATCATACAAGACCGCTCTGAGTTTTGCATTTAAATAAGCGAGAAAGATTACTCTAGGCAGCATGTTTCTAAAAACAAATTGTTGTCCCGGGTTATTTTAGGCCAATGACCCATTCTGACCTCTAAGAAGTCCACTGAGATTGTAGAATGTGGTTTCTGCTATCAATAAATTTTATATGAGCACCAGAAACTATCTCATACAGCAAACCTTAGAGTAACAAAACAGATTGGTTTTGACCTTGGTCTGACCTTCATATCTGACCATAGGTCAATTCAATTTGCTCATTCCATTGTTGTGTTGCCTAAGAAAGCATCTCAGAGATGCATGGCTTCGCCTGACGCTCCGTTGTTGCATCAGATTGAACAATTCCCTAGAAATTGACTTCGCTGGAATCATGGCCTGACTTTGACCCGCTATAGGTCAGCGACCTTAGAAGGTGCATCCAAATTTTTTACTCCAAACGATCCGCTATTCAGTTGTCTACAGTTATGCAAAATTTGGCGCGGCTGTGCAGCGTCATTCGGAAACCATTCTGGAAGAACCTTCGGGAGGGTCATTTTGACCCCCCACCGAGCGCGTGTTAACCTCGCTCATCCTTTAACACTTGTAATCATAAGCACAGATTGAAACGTCGAGAGCCGTCAATGAAGCCGATATTTCCTCTGTAGCGGTGGTTAAAGAATCTTCCACATTTCAAGATATTGAGGCAATTGTCACATGTGCTGAGAAGAAGCTCACTAGTAAATATTGGCACGTCTTTAAACGCAGAAGACTGCTCTAATAAAACAAAATCATTTTTTAGTGAATGTGCTCCCAAATATGTGATCGTTTGATTACATCATGGAACGTTTCTATGACGTCAGAGTCCCTGCCAGACTGGCCGTGTCAGAACTGGCATTGTAGCGGACGGCATGGCTCACTTGTGGTACTTCTACACGCCGCAAGATGGTGTTGGTCTCTGTGGGTGTATGTTTTATTAATGGTATGTGCCAGGTGTGCAGTTTCACACAGTGAGTTCGGGGACTGAACAGTGAAAATGGCACAATCTACCCACAAGATATACCACTATCCAGGTTTCTCTCCCAGATTTGGCCCACTTTCCTCCCAAAGCTGGGGGAGCTTGAGTCCAAGTTGGGAGCAGGAGGCCGACCCTCCTAACTCAAGAGGAAGCTACACCCCTGGTGTGTATGTGTGTTTTGTTCTGTTTTTTTTTGGCGCGGCATTCTTATATATTTTTCGTAATGCCACTTTAAATCGCATTTGCATTTAGGGATACGGTACTGTTCTTGGCCCATTCGATTCTTAGCGTCATATCTGTCATATCTACTATTGCTGTACCATTGTCTGTGTTGTGCATCGCAGAACGCGGCTCGTAATCCGAGCATGCAATCTGCGACTTTAATAAGCTGTTAATCAACTGCTGTCTGCCCATGCAACAATTTATTCTGACGTGCTCCAGACACGAGTATTGCAATGACCATATTGCTTCTGACTTTGAAATATAATTTTGGCCATAACACTAAGTGGGGAAGTTCATATGACGTTTTCATGGCGTCATACATGCTTAGGTAATTTCGAATTAGACGGCGCGAAATAACCTGCATAAGTTCGCGGGCGTCTAGCTCAGAAACAAGAGAATTTGAGACCTTCAAAACGTATAGCTGTTAACTGCAAGGGATGATCTTGAAAGTTGGCTATCTCAATTCAAAACCCAATGTAAAGGTGGAACTGTCCGTTTCAACCAGTGCCCCCAAATGTGGAACAGTCCGTTTAACCAGCGCCCCCTGGTACATTGAAGGTCGATGCGTCAGCATATGAGCTCTAAGCTCAAAATGACGAGTTGTTTGGTTTCCTGTCAAATTCACACAATAGGTCCGTTATCGCACAAGCATGGTGCACGTGGTTATTTCAACATCTGGCACTCACGAATTCCTGGTTTTCGTTGGGATCTCTGGAGAGGAGTGTCCTGCCACAATAGGAGCATTCTGTCACCAAAGCAGACCCTCTGGAACGGCCTGACTCGTGCGACAACTGCATAGCAACAACAAAATTGTGCCTTGTTGTTGATTGGAGCTTTAGATTGCGCCGACTACAGTGGTCACTTTGCGCCCAGAACAGCTAAATGATTACTTACGACGGTAAATGGCTAAAAATATACATTAGTCAGAAATGAACACGGCTGAGTTGTGACAGGAAAAGGTCACTAAGTGATGTCCGAATACGTGAACCCATAATAACGTATTGATACGGAATTTTCGGCGACCTGAAAGCTTCCTACACGCGGTATGAACTATTCAGCCAGGTGTATCTAAAGTGCAGAACTTAACATGCGATACGAACCTGAGGGTACGTTCGATATATGGTGAGCCGTCACATAGTAAATCGGTGAGCGTCAGGGACAGCGCCGCCGGGCTAAAGTACCTCAGACGCTCGACGCGTAGTATGGGACAGCATACGAGCACATGTTCCACTGTGAGCGTCGCGTTGCAGTGGCGACATCGTGGTAGTTCGTCGCGACATAGTAAATATCGATGTGTGGATTTAAGTATGGCCAATCCGCAAGCGACACAGGATAACTTCCTCCCCTCTAGACCTTCGATAGGATGACTGCCATTCCTGAACAATCGGCCTAATATTTTTCAGTTTAGTGGTGCCATCGCATCCCATGTGCTCTGCCATTCCCCGGGCAAAAAGGTAGAGATGGCTGAGTATAGATATGTAGCGGGTATTGGAAACGCTCTGCGACAGGGACGAAGAGAAGCGCGCTTTGCGGCAGCGCCAGCCAGTTCATTTTCCGCAATGCCAACGTGGCTCGGAATCCAGCAAAGTACTATGGTCTTGCCAGTCTGGTACTGAGTGTCAAAGTATGGTCTTGCCAGTCTGGTACTGAGTGCCAAGGCGCAGAAAAATATCCTGTATAAGGGGATTTACCGGATTAAAACGCCTTAATGCCGAAAGGGCACCTAGGGAATCCGACAAAATCACGTGCAGACTGTCTTCGACCACCTCTATAAAGCAAAGCATCTTAATGATGGCCACAAGCTCTGCAGTATACATGGACGCATGGGCTGGCA